CAAATTAAGTTTTGTGTGTGTTTGGTATTAATTATCCCTTGGATATGAGTTAACAGATGTCAATATGGAATATTTTTCCAAAGAGATGTTTGTCAATCTGTCAATAGTATTTTGCTTAAATGACAAGCAAACACTTGTTAACATCAATTGATTTGGTAAGTCTTTAGTCGTATCATCAATGACAGATTTCAAAAAAAGATGTCAAATGAGCTTTAAGGGGAAAAGGAGAACAAGATCAACAAACAGTTTTGGCCTTTAACTGCCTGTATTTCAGTGAGACTTTCTAATAGGAGTCAACTGTTAAGTTCAGGACTAGAGCCAGTCAGTGGTAAAACAAACCTGCTTAGAGCTTGGTTTGCTTTACTCATATTTCTGTAGTTTAGCTTCTGTTTGGGAAACAGAACAACAAAGGAAAGGGATTGTGTATAGCCAAAAGCCTGAGGAAAGTCTTTATAGTACTTCATCTGGGTCACATCTCAAGTACATATTCCATTTATGTCAGTGTTAATAGGCAACTCCCCTATACAATCTTTGTTTTATCAGGAAGGCATGGGAGAAAAAGGTAGAGGATGTGACTTACTTCAGGTTGTACAGAAGATGCTTCTTGCCTTTGCCTAATTGTAGTCACTAAATAGACCTCATCAAGAGCCTAGTCATTATGGGCACTCGTATTCACTAGGGTCTTCAAAAACATGATTCAGCCAGCCCAACATCTGAAACTTTATGTTGACTCTCTCTGCAATGTGTACAAGAAAGCTGAGAGAAAAACCCGCAGGAATTTAGGAGTGTCAGATATGTGTGACAACTCTAGGCCAAAGGAGAGGGCTGAGATGGCAACCAAGCGTCAGTGCCTCGAACAGCAGATTTATTGACAAGACTCTTTTTCTCAGCTTTAGCCTTTTCAAAACCTTGTTGAATCCTACAGACAGTCATCAGACACTAAATATAACAGTCCAGGACTTCAGCACGAATAGAAACGAGCACCTCTTGAGCTTGGTGAGGATGTGAGAGTACTCAGAGATGAGGACTTCAGTGAGGATGGCTGAAACAGTATTTCATGCAGGGAATAGGCAGGCATCACTCAGAACCTCTGAAACATTGAAGGAAACAACCTCTTCTACTTGACTGTGGGACAGAGGAGCAATGAAGCTCCTGCAGTGCCTCCCAGCAGCTTGAACGCCCAGAATCAAGCCATATTCCCCTTTCCTGTTACTACCTGAAAAGAGGGAAGACGGTTCATTTTCTGCCGAAGCAGGTGCACAGCACAAACTCACAGAAACAAGACAGGTAGGAAGGAGGGGGCAGGGGGGAAAGTCTGGAATTTAGATAGTGAAAAGAAAGGAATTCAGAACCATTGCAATGACCTGTCTGACCTAGGAAGTATTGGATATGGCAGACTGCAAACAAGACCAGCAGAGTATGGAAAGGGTCACTGACTCCAGAGACAGCATTTCCATCCAAAAGTCAGTGGGTAACCTTTTGCAACATTTTTTTTTTTTTAAAGAATTATAGACACTGACAACAGCTAGATTAAGCTAGCAGCAAACCAGTCAAGATCTTAATTTTTCTCAAAAACAATATCCCCTGCTTCACTAAATCAAATCATGGCATACCTGCAGTTTTTTGCTATAATACATTTAAATAGACATTTGAAAATCAACTAAAGAGAGAGAAAGACATCTATTTCAAAGTGCAATTAAACATTTCCTTCTGGAAGATTTTTTCTCTTGCAATGTCCTTAACACTACCAGTGCCACATTTCAGCATAAGTAAAAGTGCTGCTCCATATTACAGGCCTCCAGACTTTTTTTTTTTTTTTGTTTGCTTGTTTGTGTAGTGTTCTTCAGAGGCTCAATGCTGTTTGGAGACAATTAACTATCCCTCAAGTTCCCAGAAGCAAATTTTTATCTTCTCAAACAAGGTAGGAAACAGGTTAAAGGTTACAGAGAAATAACTGACCAGATACAAACTGTGAATGCTGCATTAGCCACAATGACTCTTGGGACTGAAAGCTTACTATTAGTGAAGAAAAGAGAGGATTCATTCAATTATCTTACTTTGTATTAGTGAGTTAATGGACATGGTGTATGAGGAGAGGAAATAACAGACATTTACTATCTTTTTTGAACAGAATGAAATAGAACATTAAATACTTACTTTTTAATAGCTATTAAATTATATTATGATTCAACTGCAGAGCAGTAAGAAAAACAAGTGCTTTGAATTCAGGCTGATATAACTGCCAGGCTGCTACAGTCTCCTTTATGTACTGGGATATCAGTATATTTTCCCTAATCCTAATTTAATCTCATACATATTCTTCAACAGTTACCCTTAAGAGAAGTTTTTCACCTGATGTCACGTGGAATTGAAACAGTATTGCTGATGGTCACAGTGACATAAAAGCAAAATCAGTCAAATTGAAAGGGTTGACAAGAAACAGTTCTGAAGTGACTCAAACTTGGCAAGCCTCTCAGGGATAAGAACTGAGTGGTATGACTGGCAATGTGCAGGGCTAGGCTCAAAATAACTTAAAAATGGGTGACAGCATTAAGTCTCAATAAAAACACAATGTCAGTGGCCAACAATGCTGTCACTTATGTACATGCATCCAAGTTTGCTAAGGATGACAATCCCTGGAGCTTTCAGAAGCACCCTCTTCAGCCTGCACCACAATAGAACAGAGTTTAGTGGGACTGTAAGCAGTCATCCTCCTTTTTTTTTTTTTCCTGGAGAGCAATAAAGAGAACAGGGAAAAGAGAAATGCAGTACAGCTATTCTGCAATTCTTCCTGTGAATAGAGAGAAGATCAGAAAATGCATTCAAAAGGAAGAGAGGAGGCAACAAATTAATGAAGAATGAGTTGTGTTGCATTTAGGCTAAAGCCTTCTGCATCTTCAGCCAAAGTCATGAGTGGCACAGCCATAGCTGTGCATAGACACAAGCGTAAATGACTATTTCAGGTCCTTTCCACACTACCTTTTACTTTGCCCTACTGTCTCAATTAGCATAGCTCCACTAGCCCTGGTGTAAGCAGCTAGTGTTAAGCAGTAATATATAAGCAGAATATATAACAGAAGGATGCATTTACAAGTCAAATGTTGGGCATGCAGGTGTTATATAGCTGAGAACTACTGAAATGCCTTTTTTGTTTTAAAATTGTTTAAACTCAGTAAGTTTCATCACCAAAATAATACCTGGTGTTTGTGCTGTAGCAGACAGAAAAACCTATTTAACCTAGTGATAATCATCAGCTAAGTTGTGTATCTAAGACTTTACTGTACTTGCTTCTCCACCAACACAAGTTTCAGAACTAAATTACATCTCAGTCAAACCTTGATCATCATACAAAGCTCACACTATAGAACTCACAACACGCACAAGCAAATCTTCCTGTAATGTCCTGAGAACAGCTAAAACTCACAGAAATGAAGACAAACATAACAATGTCTACTAGCATCAGAAATGAAGGAAACTATCAGATTTTCTAGCACAAATCTCAAGTCCTATTCTTCTTCCTTCTGCCCCAGGCAAGATATCTTGCTTCTCTACTTCTCCAGGTCTGTGCTCTTCAGGCATGTTAATGACTTGAAGCTTGTAAAATCACCAAGTAGAAGATGACAACCAGTTCTCTTCCTGTGGGTCTGGGTAAGAACATAACCTAGACTTCTACAAACAAAAGGTCAGCACGACGCAGATCTATTGGGAGTGCAAAAAGATCCAGGAAGAATGTTTTAAATATTGCAGATGACTCTCTCCAGGTACAGTTGAGCTGTCAAGATACTACATGCCTTAAAATAACGCAAAGAGAGTTACAACTGCAAAGATCTTACAATATGAAGTTGACCTTTGCTTATTTTGTACTGTAAATTTTCTTCCAGATTTTGCCTTGAAATTTTGCTGCAAACAATATCCACATCTATTTGAAAAGTCAAAACATTTCATCATTTGCTGCTGCACAGGGTATACAATTACAGCGACACAATTTTCACAGGAAGGTGGTATTTAGAGGAGGTAATATCACAGACACAATGAACATGGGGGAAATGGATGAAAGAGCAAAAAAAAAGAGAGATAAAGAAGAAAAAGCCAGATCCACAAAAAGAAGGAAAATATTGAAATTGGGACTTCAGCAGAGATGCTTAGGTGCAGGAGATGGAAAAGATGATCAAAGCCCTCCGACAGATTTTCATCTGTAAAAAAGTCTACAGCAACTTAAGTTTTGGCTACACACAAAAACATAACTGCACTGGCAGGGATGGCCAGCTGGCACCGCTCCAATGCCTACGCCTGATCAATATTCTCTCAGTAGATACTCTACTTCTGTCTGCAAAGGGGACCAATGACCTCAGCATGCTAACATGCATCTCTAGAAATAACTTCTACTCAATACACACAGACTAATATCTTCTCCTGTTGTTCAAAAAGAAAAGAGCAACTGCACTTCCATCTGCAAATGGAAGTGTTAGAATGTACCAGGCTACGATTCCAGCCTGTGAATGTTAATTAAACACAGACTATCCTGCAGTGCAGAATCAGTTATTTTAGAAACTTCAAGCTTAAAGGAGTACAAATCAGCCTTTAGAATTAGCTATTTGCTTAATTCCCATTTTCCTTCTCACTCCACTGTGGCACTACACTGTTAGGAATGATATTTTAAGTAACTAAATCACCTCACAAACTCCACTGGAGGAGCTAGGTGTTCAAAGTTCAGCACTGCAATGCCCAGCATTACCACATCTGTATTTCTGTGCTGAACTGCCTTGAGAAAGTACCCATTCAAGACTGAGCAGCAAACCTGAGTGTGGATCAGGAACAGAAAAATCAGTTCAGTGGCTCACAGTGAAATAATTTCCTGTCCCCAGAGCACCCCTTCAGTAACTCATCCTCAGTGTTCACGCCATTATCTGTATTTTTCAGCATACTGTTCACAGTCCTGTAACACAGCTGTATTGCTGCACTGGGAAGTTTCTGCTCAAAACCTAACTTTTTTTTTTTACCTTTGGATCAGCAGTCAGCAGCTTGAATGCTTGATATACTTGTGCTTCTTTCACACCTCCACCGAGATCCAAGAAGTTGGCTGGCTTTCCACCATTCAGGGATATTATATCACATGTTGCCATTGCAAGTCCAGCTCCATTGACTGTAATTGTAAACATCAAGTGCTTATATTTCACATAAACGTATGTGAGATTTGTGAAAAGTCTTAAAACGTTATCAGCACAACCACATAATACAGCTCAAAATGATACATAAATATCTAATTTCTAAATAGGTCAGTACCTATTCAAGGATATCCACTGCAAAAATAATTCAAAATCTGGTGCATACACACCAATATTCAGGTTTCTTTACGACTGTATCGATTTTAGGACTTAGAAGTGCACATTTCCTTAAGATTGTAGGAGCACTGGAATGGTAATTGTGGAGATGCACAAACTGATTTTAAAAAAAGACACACACACAAACTTCTGGGAATAGCGATCACATCACAGGATGTGAAGGACAAACTGACTCCTTCAGCTCCCCTCCCATCATTCCGATAGCAGTAGATGATGCTTTGTATTACTGTAAAGCAGACAACTAAATTTTGGGGACAGATATCAGATGCTCCTGCAACTGCCTTTTATTTTGCGTTTGCACCAGTCTAGAAGCATTCCCATGGGCATGAACATCCTTTAAACTAGGAAAAGTAAATGAGAATTATTTGTCCCCAGTTAAGTTGCTCCTGCTGGACAAAGTAAGGGTTCTGTGTCACCTGTAATTCAACAGTGATATCTACGACTAAAAAATACTTTAGTATTGACAATCATTGTTTGGGTTTTTTTGGGGGGTTGGGGTTTGTTTGTTTGTTTCTTTAAATTGGGATTCAAGTCTCACTGTCACTTACTAAATCAACTGCAACACATTATCAGTATCTTCTAGATCTGTGGTTAGACTACACATCTAAACAACGTGAATGTTGGACATTTTCTCACCAAGCTGAGACAAAACGACTAATTCAATTAGATGTATAATAAAATGTTGTACTGGCTAAAAGAATTTGTGCAAAATGAAAATTCTTTCGAGCATGCCTGACTTTTCTACTTATCTCTTCTAAACACAAGAGTAATTTCTGTTCTCCAGAAACTTCAGGAAAATAAAACACTGGTATTTTCCTTTTAACGATCAAGCAGCTTCTCTAGCAGCTTTCCTTAAAGGGAAATGGAGTTCAATATTCAATTGTAAGTGGGAATACCATGTTTTTACACACATGCTTTTGCAGTGTCTTTTAAGTAACACAGTCTCATTTTTGAAAGTTAATGATAGAATTTGGATGACTTTTCTTGTTTTGTCTTAATTACTGGAAAGACCAATTACATCAACTTAAAAATTCAGAATGTAGAAACCCCACAGGCTTCTCCCTTAGCCTGCCTTCTCTCTGACACCACATGTGCCCTGCCTGTCTGCTGCACCTTTCATCACAGTTTTTACACAATTTTAGTTTCATTCCTGCAAGAACTCGTGGAAGGACGGACAACCTCAGCAAAATAAACTGAAATACTATCAAGGGTGGATTGAATGTCAGAATGTAAACAAAGTCTATACACTGAACAAGTATGAATTTGTCTTCAAATGTCTTTTGGATTTATTTGTTCTTACCAAAGCAAGCAATATTTCCATCCAGTCCTATATATTTTAAGTCATATTTGGCAGCTTCATTCTCTATAGGCTCATTTTCAGACTTGTCATCCATGGCAAATATTTCTTTTTGCCTAAATTCTGCATTGTCATCAAAGTTTATCTTGGCATCAAAACAAACAACTAAAGGAAAAAACAAAACAAAACAAAACCACAACATATAGGCATTTAGAGAGATTACACTTAGTCAGAGCTTCTGAAATATTACAACTTCGACAGCAGGGAGGGGAAGAAGGTTACTTAGGGACTGCCACTTCCAACATATGATCAGCTGAAGTTCTACCATGGAGTCCAGCAGAGAGGGTAAGTTTTCCTTAAATCCTATATTGAGAAAAGGTACAGCAAGCAGCTCCATACTACAGCCACGTGCGCTTGTCACAGGATGATCTCCTGTGTTTGCTTTAAACAAAATTCGTGTAAGTTATGAAAACAGTTTTTATGAGTTGGACAGGAGGTCTGTAGTAATTTTGTAATATTTTGAAAGTATGACAGATATAACAGGTAACAGATTAGCAATCCAAAACAATGTTTGGTAAGACTCATTCGTTTATAGTTGACCAGCACAAAATGCTTTTCTTAATCATATTTTAAATTTTCACTGTTAGTAGCTATACACACATTATTTCCTTAAATATCTGAATTAAAGCAACTTTAAGCCAATGTAGGTTAAAAATGATCAAAAGATGACTTTAAAATAAAGACAATTTTAAAAATAAATACAAAACTTCTCATCAAAGTCAACACCTGCTAAGTAGCTAAACCTGACTATATTAAATAATAGATACAAAAGAATAGGTAGTAGACATAATACTCACATAAAACTACCAGTAACAGAAATGCACGTAGAGTGAACTGGTTATTTGCCTATTGACTGACATTATTTCTATGGGTTTGCACAGGCAAATACTTCATTAGATTAAAATGTTTTAAGTAAATGTAAGACTACATACTTATCATTTCACTATTTAAGCAATTTGAGTTGTACTATATCCAGATTATAATTACTGACAAGTATAATTGATTTCTCCACGCAAACCAGTCAGATTTAAGTGCCTTTAAATGCTGCATCGAGAAGAATCTAATAGTTTTGCTTTGTGCTGTATTTTGGTTCATACTGCCATTGAAATGCATGCATGGTATGTGTGCATGTGCTCATGAGCATCGTACACATATCTGCAACTAGAGGTCAATTACAATTAAAAAAACAATATTTAGTCTTTGACATAGACAGTCATCAATTAAAATAGCTAATCACACAATCTTTTTTGGTGGACAAGTACCAGTCTCTCTAACAAATTATGTAATTGTCTAACCTAATAGAAAATATCTAAGCAAACAGCAAACAAAACATTTACAGAAACTGGAGCATCTCAACTGTATGTCTTGATTAGCATTGGATTTTCTTGGTTTGTTTTTTTGGTGTTGCTGGGGTTTTTTTGTTGTTTTGTTTTTTAATACATTTGATTTGCAACCAGTACCAGATTAAATTAGAACAGGATCAAATTTCATTTCAGTAACCGCGGTTTCAGAAAACTATTCATGAGTGTTTGTGTATAATCAATCTCTCTTGGAAGAGTCTAGATCTCACCCGCTCGACCATCATGTGGGAATCTGCCAAAAGGAGAAATGTCTGAAGTTCATAATATGCTTCTACTGCACTACAGCTGATTTAATTTTTTTTAACAATGAACTAAGACCCGTACCATTTTTCTTCTTCAAGCCTTTAGTTTCTTAAATTGGTAAAGCAACTCAAAGCTAGAGTAAAACTGCAGTTTCAGAGCTCTGTTTACCTTAGACATGAACATGCTCAATGTCACATTAATAAAATCTCATTTCTACAGAACATTCATCTTTAACAAAGGACATGCTGTACAAAGTAGCAGGAAAAACACCTATTAATATTTATCAAACCATTTTCACCATCAAAAGCACATTGTTACATGCATGATAGATTAGACAAATGAATTTTTCTTCTAAACAAATATCAAAGACCCAACACTTATATTCATGGAGTACTTCTGTTGTTTTTGCTAGCAATGTAGGATTTTTGTCATCTGCCAATTCAACAGCTTACACTGAGAGAAAACAAAACAAAAAACCCAAAGAAATTGGCAGTTACAGACTTCTGACCCAATAGTGCTAACAAAGAATTTCCTAGAAAATTAAACAAAAGGAAATACATACGACTAAGTATTTTCTAATGGAAATTAACACAAAACACAGCAAGAAATAAATCCATCTTAACTGTTACTTTGACAGGAGTAATAGTCTTCTTACAGAGACATATTTTATCATTAGAAATAACTCCATTAAGCTACTCAAATGTTCTTCCATTTGTTTTGTCTTTATTCTTCTTTAAGACATTTCAGATGGAGAAACTGCTAGTAAAAAAGAAATAAGCACAGGAAGACTTCTGTGTATGTCTGCTAGTAAGATGGCTTTCACAGCTTGAAACCCACTCTGTTTCTGCTCCTCAGCTTCCTGGATGTGAAACACATGGGGAAAAAAAACCAACCTTGGAGAAAACAGCATTAAAACTCCTACCCTCCCTCAAATTAAGCCCTCCTCACTAAATACGCACAGCCATTCCAGAAAAGCTGAGTTAGCAACTTAGCCAAATCCGTTCATTTTCTCATCTCGCAGAACTCCAGCAAGGATGCAAAGTTAGTACCACATGGTTCTTTCGGACCTTTTAGGACCACCAGTTTTGTTTTCTCTCATTTCCAACTGCCATCTCCTTCACTTGTCCCTACTTGTCTAGCGATCTCCCCTCTGTTGGTACCCAGCTAAATACATCTTGAGCACTGTAACGATGCCCCTATTCTGCTACCCAACAGTGCTGTGTCTGCCTTTGTCTACACACACATTTACTGCGTTTGCTCACTAACACCCAAGACATACTTAAAGGTCTTCCCTGCAGGATTACACGGCTGAGTTGATGTAGTACTGAACTGTAGATTTTGTCCTTTGCTTTGCCAAAATAACAGCATAATAAAGTGCTTCAATACTAGTCATCTGAGTTAGTTTTGAACCAGCAAGTGTGAATACTAAAACACCCTAGTCCTGGCACAAATAGCTCACCTCAAGCTCATTTCTCTGCCTGACAGACGGCAAGTGTCACGGATGTCCCAATTTCTGACATCTGACTGAGCAAAAGGACTACTGGGTACCTTCCACACTGCCCTGCAGTGTTAAGGTATCTTGGTCAATTATTCTACTACAAAAAATATTGCAACTTTTGAGGAAGGAAATTTTGGTTTTACAGTATTGGTGGTCTTGAACTCCAAAAATAAACCTGATAAGTACATCAGTCACAGCAGACAAACATACCAATGAATTTGTTTTGAAGTGAACATCGTAATCCTCAGGAAAGTTCCGGCAGTTTTTGTTGCACCTATTTTAAAGTTCCCATTCATCTTCAGAAGGTCAAAAGTGTCATGTATTGCACACTGCTAGAACTTGAAAAAATTCAGACCATTCATTTTACAAGGCCCTATTTCTTTGCTCTGCTTTAACTTCACTGTGCAGCACAAAATGAAAATGTCCTTCTCACCTCATTCCCAACTGGTTATAATGAGGCCAATGGATCTACTTAGACGGCGGGGAAAAACCAACAGTCTATTGGGTTCTGAAGGCAAATTTTCCATTTCTATTTAAAATACAGCCTACAATAGAACTACACTGGTCAACAGCACAGCTTTTTGTTTCTCTCCCCCAGTACACACTTCACAAACGGCGTAAGAACCAATGGAGCTACAGCAGTTGCTAAGAATTTGACTTACATTTATTAAGCCGAATGAGGTGTACAGTGCAGAAAATATTGATTCAATGTACACGTTATTATGGTACTTCAAAGGAGCTGGAAATCTGAGCACACAATGCTGTGAAAGATTCTTAAATAAAAAGAGTTAAAGCATTATTTTCATGGGGTAAACTATCCAGAGAACTAAAGGACTCTGGTGGCAAGAGCACCAGAACCAAGAACCCAACCAAGCAGGAATTGGAAAAAAGGTCTGCCCTTAAAGCAGAATTCATACATTTAAGTCATAAATAAGTTCTTCTACCTTAGTTTAACCTGAAAACAGCAAATTATGCCAAAAACAAACAAAAAAAAAGGATGACACATTTGATCATTTTTATCATTGTCTCATTTAATAGACAAGATACTCCCTTTATGCATTTGTTTTTAAAATGTCACTTTACAATAGGGCATTTTACTGTCCCAGGGCCTATTTTATAACAAAGAGCACTATCTTTTAAGATGTGTTAACCAAACAGGGTGTGGCAGGATTTATTTTACATCTTTTAGAGCGTTTCAAGAGTTCGTTACCAGCAGAACTTTCCCTTTAAGCTGTGGACAATTCTCTGCCAATTACTTTGTATTTGATTTTTTAGAAAAAGTTTGCTCAATTGGAAGAGACCGCATAGTTTCTAGCCCCAATTGAGTTTCTGAATTCCTAACAAACTGAGCAGAAATATGGATTTTTAGTGAAAAGCTGTTTATTTCACAAACTAGCTGTGGGCACATAAAAAGTATTGTTAAAATGCTATTTCCTTCAACTGGTACTGACTCTATGAGGAACTCATATTCTTAACTGACATAGGCAGCGATCTCTTTCCAAATGTTTCCAGAACAGCAATTAAGCATCCACATTCTTAATGTCTGTTAAAATGGGTAAAAGCTTTCTCTTTCCATTTTCTAATTTCCACTTTAATCTGTAGGTATATTTTACAAAGTTGGTAAAAAGTTGAAGTTGTCTTTCTTGACAAACATTGATAAAGACTACGCAAAAAAAACCCACCCACCAGCACTTCCCAATGACAAAGGCCTCTCTCAAATCACAAAATGATACTGTAGGTAGGGCCTCTACTAGGAATTCACTAGTGCTTGTGAGCACTTTGACACTGAAGCCTCAGCTAGCTCTCCCTGAGCTCCACAACCTCATATTTATCCATTTAAATCAAAGACAAGAAATAAAAAGGGAGGGGGCATAAATACGATAAAATATTGGCATTAGGAATGAATGCATGGGTTAAAAATGCTCTGCCATCAGATGAAACAGCGAGGTGATAACTATGAACCACCTGGATCAGCACTGTTTCAATATAACACAGGCATCTTCAGTTCCTAGTCTCTTCGTCTTTGTCCAAATTAGTTGGACAAAAATGACAAATGGAAGGGAAGTTTTCAGCTGGAAAACCAACTACTAGAATTATGTAAAAGCTAACCCAGCTCCTTATTTTTACCCTGTACCTTCTTAGCCCTGTATCCATGGTGGAAGCAGATTGATAACCCTTGTTCTTCCCAAAGGATGTAGCTAAGTGCCAGTTCCAGCCAGAATTTTTCCCGTGCTCTAATAGGTTGCAGAGACATCCACTTATAATTTTAACTTACCCATACGTTTACAAATGTAAAATTATAATTTTCTTTCTGCACAATCTTAATAATTCTAGCAGCATTAACAAAAAAAAACCCCCAACCAATAAAACTTCAAACCAAAACCAAGAAAAATCTGACTTCATACAAAGAGCAGAAGAGCAGAAAATGTTGCTGTTTCTCATCAAGCATAACATGTAGAAGCCAATACTTCCAGTATTTGGATGAAATAACAAAAGGTATTGAAATGTAAAATCTGCCATGGGAATATTTATGAATGTTGCTTAAATTACATTACAAAATGAAATTAATGCAAAGCTGCTGCTACAGCCTTCTATGCAATTTAATTTATAGTTTGCATAAATAAAGAATTATAATGCATTCATTTGTTTCCTTCAATTTCTTACCTTGCCCTTCTGGAGTTTCACCAAAGGGATTCACTTCAACTTGAGTGGCATCAATTTTCAAGAAAAGATTATACAGCTTCTTAATTTGATCTGCTGCCTAAATTTGATCAAGCGATTTACAATTACCACACAGAAAAATAAAATTTAATGTTTTCAAGGCAAAGGTAAAACACTATTGATTATTTTTAATGCATTAAATCGCACACTAGCTCTGGATAATTACTGCTTTTATTTCTGCTTTCTTAATCATATTTACATAGTATCTAAAATAGCTATAATGTAGCATTATGATACTGCATAACATTTAGTAAATGTGCATTTAAATACTACACGAACTGGAAATTTTCTACAAAGTAAACAGCGTGATTACTATGACAATTTTAATTTGAAAAAGTGACTAACAGTTCATAGTGACATATTCTCTGGTATGCTGAGGTCAAAGTTGCATTCATGTTAATCAGTCTAAATTCAGAAACCATAAAGCAGTACGTGCATGTAAGTGACTTTAGAAAAAAATACATTTCTCCTTCCTACATCAGTCTGAAATGTTTTCTTGAGGAAATTATATCAGAAGCATGCTTGTTTACTCTTTACAAATACTCTTACTTGTTCCTTGTTGTTTCTCACCATCTATCTCTGTGAGTGCTTCTGCCACCAAAAGTATTGTGACTGATTACTAACTTCCAAGTCTCTTGTTCTTATATCATTCTTCCATTAACAGAACAACTTAAACAGCAGCAACATGGACGTGCATTTAAAAAAATCCCTTTGGTTCATTACACACTGACAACCCATTAGCTGAAATAAGTTTGCAGATGAAGAAGTGCAGTAATAAAGAACCATTCAAATTTGTTCCTTCATTACCAATCAGTTAACTGCAGTACACAAACTAAAAATATTTGGGATCTCTCCTCACAAGCAAAGTGAATGAGAATAAAAAAACAGAAGTCAGCTTTCTCCCACAAGGCCATTCATAAGAAAGAAAACACTACAAGTGGGAAGACTCAACCTGCACTTCATCAGGGAGAACATGGTGAGGGATGTTCCTACCGCTCTCTACTCAGAGCTGACACAGCTGCACCTGGAATGCTGTGTCCGGTTTTGGGACCAGCACATCAAGGCTCTTTAAAGAGTTACAGCTTGGAAGCAACATACAAATTGCTTATGGAGTCTTTTCCCTGATCCAAAGTCATCAGCTGAAGTATTCTCAGTGCTTTTGACTTTAAAAAAAAACATTATCAGTTATAAATCTGCACCCAGCAAGGCAGCAGTTTGCTCGACATGAACACTCCGGTTGACAAACTATCCTAATACTACATGGGTAAGGCTATCAGCAGTGATGCTAGGAAGTCCCACCGTGTAGCCCCACATCGATTCTGGGCAAACTGAAAAGCTGTTGTTTTCCTAGCACACTGCTGAAATTTTCATAGATCACCACAATTGCTTAACTTTTATTAAGGGCTGCTCTATCTTTCAGCACCTCTCTGAATCAGGCAGCTTAATGTCAACATTTCTCTTTCTCAAGGTCTACAAGTAGTGAGCCTCTTCAAGGCAAAGCATAAAATCCTAATCTAGAAACAGTGAATGTATAAGTAAATACTAGGATTTGTCTGAATAAAAACTATATCCCTATGCTTCAGTAAATTCCTTTGAGTTGATAGCGTAAGGAAAGAAAAGCATTCACTGCAGCATTACTTAAATGTATTGTTAAAAAGTCCATATATTGCTGTTAATTATTAAGTACCAGAACTCTTCAAGGGTTGAAAGGTTCTACATAATCATTCCTCCTCATTAGATATACAGCTAAATCTTCAAATGTGTGTTAATCAACTTAATGATTATGCATTTGTTAATTGCACAGTTGGGATAGAAAATAATTAAAACCGCTGAATTAAAAATAAAGGAGTTCTACAAAAATGACAGTTTGATACTATGGAAAAAACCCAGGCAAAAGTAGCTTAAACAAGCTTTCACTTCTCTGCAAAATGATTCATAAAAGCAAAATATCTTGCATATTTGTGTACAATATGGAATTCCAATATATATAGAAAAGAGATACACAAGCTGGCAGCTCTTTGGTTTTGAGTTGAAGATAGAGGACAAAAAAAAAGATCCAATTACAGAAAGATACACTTTTACTTCTTCCCATATTCAGGGCCAAATTTAAAAAAAAAAATCTCCACCCAAGTAATTCACTGAGCTCCAATGGAATCCCAATGAAATCAAAAGAATCCCACACAGTGTAACAGAATGCTGTCATCAATTCCGTCAAAGACCAGGGGCTTTCACTTTGGAACAGTAAGGACCTTATTCAAATTGCTAAAGCCTGATGACAATTCCGTAGGTGCAATTTAATATTTAAAATGTCAAAATGGTCCTGATCTAATGGACACTTAGCCTTTCATGTTTATTTGGAAAGCATTTATTGTATAGCTGGGCTAAAAAGTCTAGTAAAAAATGAGGGAATAGAGTCAAGTTACCTGCTGTTGCAAAGGTCCTTTGAATCCCAAATTTTTTGCCATCTGCAATGCCTGATGATCCTTTACGCCTTCAAAAATATCTATTTCCTCCTGTAACAATAACATGCATACATATAACTAAATATTCAATCTGAATGGAGATTTATAGCTTCAAAAGGAAAACACTTAGTATACATTTGCAAATTAGTAATTAAAGCATGGCTGTTTGCCAAAGCTCTCCGAGACTGAGGCTATAGCAGCTGCCTATAGGGTATGTTATAATTACCACACCAACTATGAAACAGTCCTTCCAAAAAAATATATAATTCTTCAGGGTGGCATGCTGACAAGACAATGTGACACCAGTTTTCACTTTTAATTACTGTACAGATGGCGTTGACGAATATTTAGTCTGTTAATTCTTATGACATCTTCTGGAATATTTTCAAGTCAATGGGTGTCACTGCCCAGTAACACTGTGAAGTTTATATAATTTAAAAATGCACATTAAATATTTTTACAATTTAAAAAATAATTATACTTGATTGTACCCATTTTTTTCCCAGATGAATAGCTTGTCTACTCATTATCATGCCACAGTAACATAAAAAAAATATTTAAATGTAGTCATTGTTAAGAAAGCAATTACAACAGTTGTATTTCAGATGTAAAAGTCATCCAGGTACAAAGAAATAATTAACAACTCTGTCAATTAGAAAAAAACAACCACAGAAACAACGATTGTATTGGTACTAACCCACTTGTGAAAAAACTGCGTATCTTCCTGAACGTGAAAATCACTGATAAAACATTTCAGTTAATTCTGGCTGTTATATATTAGACTTAAGTTCTTTTTCTAATCAAGCTGGAGACAGAAACACTAACATAATCAGATGTTAAACGTGCTTCATTCATCTACTAGATGACAGGTCTGATCCCCTACCTGGTGAAACACATTTTTGTGGTTTGTATTGTCTTCTTTCCATACATGGAAGAAGGCAAAATGGAAAGAGAAAGGGGGGGTGTGAAAATTGTATTATTTTGGATATTAACAAATAAAATTTTAATGTAAAATATTATTTTAATACCTTAAAGATAAGTTCTGGGCTAGTAACTGCAACTTCTTCTATGTCAACACCACCCTGTGGACTGCCAACCATAACAGGTCCATTGCAGGCTCTGTCCATCAAAATTGCAAAGTACGTTTCCCTGGAAATATTCAGTGCTTCTGCAACCATCACCTAAAAATAAATACAGAGAAAGAAAAAGACAGAAAATATTCTGACTGGTACATCTAGCTGGTGAAGCAGAGAACATTGTGGCTCATGTTTTCTGCATTGCCTTAAAATGCAGCAGTTTGACACTTGCTAGCCTGAAAAGAAACGTTTGTTTCACTGCTTTTTTCAAGATACCACAGCCCAGTGATCTTTTTCCCAAGCAATCCTCTGTCCCTAAGAAAGAGACTCCTCTGATGCTGCTGTCCTCACTGGGGCATGTAACGACCAGTATAAACAGGAACACCTAATTCTTGGAGTTTTTCCAAGAAGAGACTCGGAGTTGCTGCTATGTCCATAAAGGGGACCTCCATATCACCTTTTTATTCCCAACAGGCACTTTAACACTCTACCCCCAGAAGAAGATGAGTCACAAGGGACTACAGTTTGCAAATCACACTGATGTAGGAGAGGGTACGTTGCCTTTCAGATGCATCTTGTCAGCAGTGCCGTTCCTCACCACTAAAGCCTCAGGTTTAGCTCCCTCATTCTGACAGAAGATCATCCTACACTTACAATCTCGGTGCTGAATTCTTGCCCTGCTGAAGTATTTCCTACGGAAACAGGTTTGCAGATAATTCTGCCATCCAGTTTTTTACGTTTAGAGATACAAGCATATGTGTGACCTTCAAATACTAGCACAACCTAGAAACACAGAAATTTATTTTTCTAAAGAGCTACTAATTTCTATTTATTACTATTAACTACAGAGCACTTTCTTACCAGTATCTTATGGATACTTCAGCACTCAACAAGAAAAGATTATTCAAATCCTACATGTTCAGAATCTACAAGTACTCACATTAAAATTGGGGGGGAAAAGGCCCGTATAAATTCTTTGTTACATTTTTTTTCTCTCCTCCCAAAACCATGCCAAAGTCAAAGTTCTTTCCATTTCGGTATTACAGTAACTTCCTTTTCATCTGAACTGTCAATTTTTGCAACACTTCAACAATAGCTATTGAAGCAATTTCAGAGATTAAGTAGTTTTACACTTGGCAAAGGACTCACAGAACTATGTTTTGATGCAAGAATACTAAATTCCCCCAAAATGTTCTTCATTTTAAGAAGAAAAAAATCTGCGTATGATCATTACTAATTGTTCCTCATGATTGTAACAGGTGCCATAATCTCAGGTGCAAAGACCGTAGTTCTGCTCTGCACTACAGTTTTGCTTTTCAACCTGGAAGTTGAGCAGCCTCCTCTTCAATTTAATTAGCACTATAGCTTCTCCTTATAACAATAAACTATATTCTTCCTTAGCAGAGCTATTCTTTCCTGTCTTTCAATGGAAGTAGTGGAAATAGGAAAATCACTTCCCTAAGACTAATATAATTAAGAAGGATTCAGTAGCAATGTCTTTTGAACATGGTCTGTTTACAAAGTGATGGTTTGGAGCAATGATTGTAGACAAAGATCATCACTATGAATGAAACATAAGGTGAAATTCATTCTATCAGTCAGCAGTTCAAACTCTTTAGATGCAAGAGGCATGTATACATGTGCAGTCTTAAAACTCTGCCTACCCGGCAAGATGTGTTCCATCAAATAAATATTTCTGGGCTTTTTATAGTTCAAGGACTATGAACAAGCAAGATGCACTATACTCTTACCCAAGTCACTTTTTTGACATTCTACTCCGGAGTCAGTAAGAGAGAAGGTTATGTACCTTCTGCCTGGCTGTACATCTTAACAGAACAGAAAAAAAACCTAAGAGACAAGCAATTAAATAAAGCCCTCTGTGCTCAGAATGGAAGGAAAGATGCTATTTCTTTATGGGTTTGGGTTTTTTTTTGACTAGGAAGAAATTTGCTGTATAGTAATTTTGTTTCCTTCTACTTCTAACTTGCTTTATTCATAGAACATAGGGTGATGTCAAGGAATAGTTCAAATAAGCAACTGCTCAAAAGCAACAAAAATCTAGGGTGAAGGAGACAACTAAGAATGTATAAAACTACTGTACTACTTCAAAGCATCTGCCTATTTTAGGCTACTATAAAGGGAAGCTAAAAGCCAACTTCAGAAACAGCTCAGCTACCTGCCAAGGTTTGTCAAATTAACAAGCAAAGATATTGCAAGCACCACTCATTTGCTACTATTAGTCTTTTTACCTGCATGCATGTTTTCACCTTCTTACATATTCTGCATCAACGTATCTGAAAAACGTGAGTTAATTGCTTTAGACATAGGTCAAATAAAACCAACTGGTCCTGCTGGACCTTGTGTGAGCTGTTCACACAGTTTCCACAGTGCTCAGGATCAGGGCCAGACTCAGGATGGGAATCTACTCAACGACTCTTGAGAAATACATTTGCAAGCACAGCAGGTGGAACTTACATTATTAAATCCGGTATCTTCAACTGCTATTTCCAACCCAAGTGATTGTCCTCACTATTGCTAATTAACCATGCCAACATCATCAAATACATCTCTGTCAATTCACAAAACTATTGAGAATCCAGCTACTTTGTAGTAGACAAGCTGACTGTAGAGTAAGAATTGTCAGACTGTGCAACATCTCTTATTTCTCCCAACAAAACCCAGTTACTTGCCTTCACCATCCTCCCTGTTTGATGCAGAGCAAAACCAGGGAAATTGGTGTTCAAGGTCTTTAAGTATTTTATGTTAAATTCTACCTGTCATTCACCTGACAAATCCAACACAAAGACATCAATGAAGAGTTAAGAGTACTGAAATTGAATCTACAGACTATTGACTCTTCTCACATTTTGTCTGTTTTGCTTATGATAAAGAATGTGAGGCATCATTATCTGTTTACCCCATCAGGTTTATATTTAAAATGTCCTGAGGAAAAAATAGGTTTTCTTTGAAACTTCCTGACAACTTCAAGTTTTCCTTCATAAAAACAAATCATAACCTGAAGTTTAACTCACACATCTGATTTCATGAGGGTAACTATAACAGCTCTTTTATACAGAATCAAATATTCAAAATGTTAATTCTGTTATTGCTTGGAGAGAAAACACAGGTTGCAAATTCTCAGGTTGTCATGATAAGAGAAGAATGTCTTCTCAGATAACCAGGCTCTCCAAATTCCAAGCTGCCATAAGAGGATTCTATGTAAACTCACAAAATAGCTTCCAAGTTACAAAGGAACTGAGGAGACTGCTATTTATCTAAGAATAACATTTAAATCATGCTTTAAATTGTGTAGTAGGTGCACAAGCTGAGAAAGAAAGCTGAAAACTCCATTTTCTGTTCCATAATTACTCTAATTCTAGAAAATCTGTATCTTTTATTTCTTCCTTAAAAATACATGTAAAAGACCTCCACTCTTTGACTTGACACTAGCTTATTGATCGCCTCACAGAAAGCGACTTAATAACTATTTTCCTTCTGAAAATATATTAACAAATTTTTTTAAAACATGAGTTCACTCAAACTTTTCAAAACACCAAGAAGTTTTAAAAAACAAAACCCTACAAACGTGCCCTTTTTTTTTTAAATTCCTGAACAGTGATTTTCTTTAAGTGCATGCACACACACATATTCTTATGCACACATGCAGGGAAAGCATATGCCTTGAAATAGAACAAAAATGCCAGCTATTAAGTCTCAACTTCCCACTGCTCCTAGCAAGCTTGATGAGTCTGCCTGGCATTTTCTGTGCACTGCATTAAATTACATCCTAGACATGGTTAAACTTAAAATTTTTATCATGTTACTGTAGTCTACCCCTCGATGAAAATTTCAGTGTTTGACATTGCAGTCCTTACACTACAAACCTGAATGCTTCAACTCCTTTAACTACTTTGAAGATCCCCGAGTGAGCTAACTTTGGAAAACATAAACACTTTTAAAAGACCTTAGTTTTTCTGGGAAATGGTCTTTTAATGACCTAGATGCATAATTTTAAACATTCTTTCTTCACTATCTAATAAGCAATGGTGAAAACATTAGCATACCATTGGCCAAACTGTTATATAATTAATTTAAAACAGAGTGTATGCTCTTACCATAAATTAGCAAGAATCAAAGATCTCAACACCAAAAATATAAAATATACTAATAGTGTTACATGTGTGCGTGATGAAGGTATAAATTGGCCTAGGGTGTTTAAAAACCAACTCTATATTCAGAATGGAAGTCCGTCACAATAGGTGATCAGCTTCTCCCAATGAAAAGCATCACACTGGTTTACCTTATATTAATGTTAAAACACTTGGAAGCTGTGTCCTGAAAAGCTTCCATGTAACTCTATAGCAAAGGAAAAATGCAGAGTCTATCAAGGCTATATACTTTCCTCTACCACCAAAACAAATATCCAAAGTTCAGTAGTGCAAACTTCACCTTAAACTTCACATATGCCCTAGCTGCTTACTCTTGCACATCGTTTATCATACAAGCAAGGTGTGGACAAGGAGGAAAGCAATTACAAGTCTTCTATAGCTATTCTATACTTGGTACAAAAGTCACTTAATATAAATCCTTTGAATAATCCATTTTGAAAACTCCAACACCCATACCTTTCTTTCATTTATATCAATTTCAAAGAAAATCAAAGTTTTTTTTTCAGAACTATCTAAATCAATGAACAGACTTGCACTCACACAAAAGAGTGAAATTTCCTGTATTGATGTATTCAAAATAAGGCAACTAGGGCAAAATAATAAACCCAAAGAATTTATAAAAGAAAGCTGCTTTTACAATACAAACTTTTCAAAGCAGAGTGACTTAATAGGAGAAATGTATATCCTTTTTTAATATTCTTAGTATTATCATGATCTCTGACAGACATGCCTTAATGGTAATGCTGTTCCTTCTTTTTAATATCTAGTATTTCTTTCTACAAAACAATGATGAGGAGTGATGCTAGTCTGCTCTCCTTGCTCCCCAAGAGAAGAACCACCTGAGCACCTTCCTCCAGTCCTCATTAAACAGTATCTTTCCAAACAGGTGTTCCCCTTCTATGCTAATATACCAAGCTGTTCACAATATATTAAAAAGTGAACTGCAGCTCTTTTCAGCTCATGCCAAATTATCTCCTGGCATCAAACAGAGTGTGGCTCTTGACTACATACCTGTATGAAGATCCTTGCTCAGTAACACAAAGCAAGAGATAAAAATATATAGAATAGATAGGCAAGGATTTCCTGACTTAGAGAATTTTGCTAATGTAAAGGAGAATCTTGCTGAAGGGCTATCTACATTTCTCTTATTTAGGCCAATTATTTAGAGCAATATGTTTATGCTGAAGTGAATCTTGGCACCCTGCAGCATGTACCATCCTAGGTAAGTGAATGACCACATATTAGCTGGGCCACCACCATGACCTCATTTTACTCTGTATCCACAACAAGTTAGGAAGAATCTACTTCTAGACACCTTTTTTCTTTTTAATTGAGATCATTCTTATGCAAATCTTTCAATACTTAAAGGGGGCTTATAAAAAAGATGAGGACAAACTTTTTAACATGGCCTGTTGCGGTAGGGCAAGGGTAATGGTTTTAATGTGAAAAAGGGTAGATTTAGACTACATGTAAGGAAGAAATTTTTTATGATGAGGGTAGTGAATCACTGCAACAGGTTGTCCAAAAAGGTAGTAGATGTCCCATCCCCGAAAACATCCAAGGCCAGATTGGACGGAGCTCTGAGCAATCTGATCTACTTGAAGATATCTCTGCTCATTGCAGGAGGCTTGGACTAGGTGATTTTTAAAGGTCCCTTCCAGCCCAAACCATCCTCTTATTCTATGAAATTCATCTGTCACCATCTTTAATAACAGTTTCCCAAAGCTGAGGGTGAATGAAATATGGATAATATTATTAGTACAGGTGACCAAATATATATTACTCCTCTAAGCAAACTGTCCATAAACATGTACAGTTAATGCTATATACAGTTATGCTAGCATTTAGTATGTATTTGATGAAGGATGGATTGATGACAAAGGATTCCCTTCAACACAGGTAGCAGAAATGAATTTATTTTTTCACCACTAGGTATGCTGAAATTGATAGACAAAATACATACAAACAAAGAAAGAAAAAGTAACGTTTTTTTTCTTCCATCAACTAGATTAAATTAATCAGGCATTGGAGAAGGAATGAAAAAAAAAAAAAAAAATCTATGTGATACATCCCAGCATATTAATGCAAAACTGCAGCTGAACATAGTTCTTAACTTTGAAGAGGCAAAAATCTTACCTTTTTAACTGTCACACCATCCTTTGGAGTCTGCTTTGTTGACAGATTGTACCCAATCATCTGTTTAGCAAGCTGTTCAACAATCTTAGGGCTATAAACAAAGGAAAAAGGTTAGTTTTTTGAAGGGTATTAAAAGAAGCAGTCACATCGCTATTGTAAACAGCTTAAATATTACAACAGAAGTAATTTATTTATAGTTTCTCAGTTTTAAAGACTTACTCTTTAGTTAGATGAACTCCTCCTTTCAATCCGCTATTGAAAATACCTTTTCCTCTCCCTCCAGCCAGAATCTGTGCCTTCAGAACAATTTCCTTTGCCTCTATAAAAGAGAAAACACATTGATATTCTATTGTGTGTCATTTATTGAGCTTCTTAGTGTAAGTATAGAAAGCATTTCCAAGTTAGACTCTTTAAAAACAAGGAGAAGCTCTCCATAGCTAGTGAGCAATGAAACAAGAGTCAATTCAGAATTTTTTATAAAACCACCTTGCAGAAAAGACCAAAACCATGCCATTAATGCTACATGGCCTGCTCATCAAACCACATAACCAGCATAGACTATGACAGCTTACACTCTGGCATGGTTTTTAAAACATGCATCAGATCATGTTTTGTCGTGAATGAACAACAAAGAAATGGTCATGAAGGAAAATAAATTTCATTCCTTGCTCTAAACACATGTAAGCGTGTCCTAAAATATCCTAAAAGAATAAATCTCTACCTCCAAAGGGCAGGTAAGTGTACAGCAAGGGCATTAGTTGTGAAAACATATTTATTTGTTTCTGAGGCATCAGTTGAATCTTTGGCAAAGGGAGTGCAACAGTACCTTAGTAAAAACAAAGTGCAGCAAGACAGTGACAAAAGCAATTGCACCAAGACCTGTGTTCCAAACAGAAGGCAGTCCTGACATCCTTATGGAATAAAACAGGGGAGAAAATGGGAACAGAAAAAAAAAATACAAACACACACATAACTCATGATCTCTGCAGCTCCATATACACCACAGCAGCTTCTTGAACCATAAAGACCTGCCAGGTGCCTGTGAGATGTCTACTGAGTACTGTCACTTTGCACATTTATCGTAATACTGCCAGGTATTTTGCAAAGTCTGAGATCCCAATATTAAAGATATCATTAAGCATGCCTAGAAAAGGTTAACACTGTCACCCTTTTCTGAAGTCTGTGGAGACCTCTGGTTTCAGTGATGTTTGGACTAGGTCACACCCTGAATCACAATATTCTATGCAAGTATGCAAGAAAGCATGAGAATTTGTTGCTAAATTGACAAATTTACTGTTTAAGTGGCACAGAGGATATGGATACTTTCATTCAAACAAACACAGGCTTTCTATCTAGGCTTGTATTACATAAAAACATTTTACAGATGATTAAATATAAGTTTGGAGGCATGGCAATTTTTGGTGCAGACCAGCTCTGACACAGCCTCATTTCAAAGTTCCATTATAATAAATTTCAGCAACTAGAAAAAACACTGGAACTTAGGATAGAATAAACATTATGAAATACATATTCTACTTCCTGAATTAAGACATAAATGCATTTTTAACACAGCCGTTGGAGGTACTGTACTAAGAGATGCCTGATTTCCAAGCTTCTCAAAGCAAAATCCCTCCACATGTTTATCCATTTAGTAACATCTGACATGTATCATTCTGAACCGTAGAAACACTCTCCTTGAAAATACTTCATGCATTCCAATATATTCATATTCTGGGCTCTCTATTATTCATGTCACTGCAAGGCAGATAACAAGGAAATTTAAATGCAACAAAAAGTTTTATATCACGTGTTTCCTAAGCATACAAATTATTAAGATGAATTAAAACTCTAAATCACTTTCCAACCTGCATCAGCACACTCTAAAATCACAATAGCTACTGTCATAAAGAATCTAATATAATATTGTTAATAGATGCTACAAGCATTTCATTAGATCAGTTTTAGGTGGCAACCATCCCAGCAAGGTGAGTTTTGACTGTCAAGTGATATGTGGTATCAATTAGTGATTGATCATTACCCTCACTGCTAACCAGCACACTACATCAGTGCTGATCATTTCTTTGGCTACAACAAATGAACTTAGAGAAATGAATTAATGTGGACATTCTGATAACCCATTAGAGGACTATCGAGGCTGTACAATAACTTCAGAGAAATAACTATCAAAACATAAATAAACACACTAGAAAGCAGTATAACCTTGTAAAGATTAGACCTGAAGAACTAATCAATACAGCAGCTCAGCAGAGCACAGTACAGCAGGTTCGTCTTGCCCTGGGGGAAACCAACAGGAAGCAATTTAATTCAATAGTTATTTGCCCAAGCTCTGTAAAATGAAGTAAACCAGCCAGATCTTACTTTACAATAACTAGGCTTGATCATTTAGTACTTACCAAGTTGATTCACTACTTAACATCACCATTTTATTTCAAAAGCTGATTTCTAGAAATGCTCACAGGTTTTATGCTATCTCCTGCCTGAAATCTCAAATTATGTTATGAAAGAATATCCCAAAAGAAAAATGTGGTTTTAACTGGAATATATGAAGTTATTCACCTCCACTTGTAGGCTCTAATAAAACAAATAAATAAATAATCTAAAAAGCGGTATGCAAAATCACCATGAAACCCATTAAAAACAAAAAGCTGAATTAATTTCCATTAGCACCCTTCCAAATTGCTGTAGTAACGCTGGAAAAAAATGTTTAATCTGGGCTGTGTAGTTATAAATATTGGATTTGAAGAGAACCTAGCACAAGCAACATGTCTTTACATCACCATGTAGTATAACATTTTCAACAGCACTGCATTTGGTAACTAAGGCGCCAATGAACTTCTGTTTGTGTCCACTGACTGACAAGCCTTTATGTAAATTAAAAAACAAACAAACAAAACCCAAACAACAAAACAGACTGCTTCTTAAGTGTGCATAGAATTTTTGTGTCAGAGATTTAAATTTTTTTTTATCGTTCAAAACAATACAAAAAAAGACTGCTTTTAATTGTCACTAATTCAGCAGCAAATAGCTGCAAACTGCTCCATGCACATTAATGACAAATTTCTGGTAACAGCATGTGTTCTTAACTAATTATAACTTGAATACATTAATATCTCAGACTTAAGAGTTTATTCACTGGATCTTATAGTTGACTTTTTAACATTATTCTACAGAAAAAGAGACATATGAAGATTTCAAAAGGATCCTTTTAAAAAATGGAGCAAAATACATCTTGTCCCTAAGTCAGACGCCAGTAAATAAGCAAGACCCTTACTCCTCAGAAAAGTCCTGAGAGTTTAAAACTTCACAACTATAGATGAGTCTAATCACTTTTCTAAAAAAAAAATTAAATCTAACCACATAGGAAAAAAGCCCGAAGTACTTTTCTTTTAAATAAATTCAGATGTTTCAGCAGAACAGAATATAACACTCTAAGGGATGAGCATCCTCTACATTGCATTCAACCATACATCCCCTTCCCTTAGTCAGTGCTGTGAATACAAATGGAAGTGATACTCCTCACAATTGTAATAGGCTCAGTTGTATAATGAAAGCCTATTTAAAAATCAATAAAATCAGTCCTGCTTTTGGGAGCTATGATTACTCTGGTCCACTGGTACTGCTTGCAGCAAAAATGAACAGCTTGTTCTCAGCCCACTGCTGTGTATATTTAACTACTGAATTCTTGATCATGAAACAATATACTGAGAACCATAGTTTTGCTAGTTATATGGTATGCTAATTTATTACCTGTGAACAACTTTCCATTATTATTGATACGACTGTGTGAGTGCAAATTAGGCGTGTTAAAAAGTACAGTTACAGCTTATCAAAAATAAACTACTGTAAAGAACAGAGTGTAAGACTGCATGGTAATAGGCCTCACTCTTGCCTGTTTATGAACAAAGGATTTTCTCTCAGAGAGTACTCAGGACTACTTTGTCAAGGCATCCTACACTACAGAATTAGAGCATGGGACTGAAAGGAAGGAGGTCTCACATGAAATCCTAATCGTGTTTCTATCTCACCATGCAACTTTCAGCAGTTCGGCTTCTGTACCTGCAGGGGCTCTGTGAAAATTAATTAGCGTCTGTACCTCTTTTTTAAAAATGCAGAATCTGATTCAGTATTACTTTAGTGTATTTTTTACCCCAGTGGAAGGCAACTGATCACAGAAGGGCTGACTCCAAACTCTGGCAGCACTGTAAGTACTGCAGCAACAGCAAAGCGTTACTGGAAAATGCACCGATGTCTCTTGTGATGAGCTTAGTACACACTGCAAAATAGATGGAAGCAACCCAGTGCCAAGGGAGCAGTGCAACGACCACAACTGAGGATATACTAAATCAGTGTCTTACAGAAGCACTGTCTCCTTACTGACCCAAACGTGAGCATAAACGCTGAGTTTATAAACACAAGAGAAGTGTTTCCACAAAGGCAGCTGAGGTTAACAAGGCTCCTCCATCCTTCAGTACGTACACACCGGAGGACCCCAGTCCAGTGTGGCTTGGCAGATACTAACTGGTTTCAAGAACTCTGCTAGTCACTCTACCTAGTCATTAAGGTGTGCTTGATGAGCAGAACTCTTCAAGCATATCCTCCTTCCCAAAGTCCCGAATGAGCAAGATGGAGTACATGAATCTACAACCACCTCCAAACTCCCCACTTCTACAGAGACAGAGGCCAATCTAATGATGTATTTACCTGATAAAAGACTCCTGTGAGGGACACAAATCACTGTTATGCTTGGACATGTGCAACTTTAAGGTTCCCTTTGGCCACCCAAGCTTTAGTCACAACCTTTTACATGGTTCTCTGGAATATTACTCCACTAAGGACTGGCTGGGACTCCCACTGGATGACCAATTCCACCTCCCCCCAACCTATGCTGGACACTGATTTCCTAAAACACAGCACTGAATTCAGTGCTTCTCTTCCCAAAGCAAGGTTGTTTTTTTTTTTTCCCCCTTCTCTGCTTTATAATTGAGCTTTCATAACATGGGAGTTGAAGAAAACAAGGCAGACACTGCAGACACCTTCTGACAGCAATTATATTTCGCTTTGGATAGCACAAGAACTATAAAGATATCAACAAAACCCAGTACGCCTACATACTGTTGCTGCTTCAGTTTATTCACCAGTGTTGATGCAAAGCTGCAAATGCTCAGGTGTCCTGTAAGGGCTGTGACTCACCCTTACCCAAACTTGCAGTCGTTTTGTACGGGCTCTGAAGGAGGTAAAGCCTGAGCTGGGCCAAGAACTCCTCAAGAAAACCCACAAAGGAGCAGAGTGACCCAGTGA